TATCTATCTATCTATCTATTTATCTATCTATCTGCTAACAATGCTAACAATGGTATCTATCTATCTATCTATATATCTATTATTGACCATAGGTCTTAGAATGGTTGATTGTCTCTATATGTAGCCCAGTGATGGACTAATGTAACGTCTAATGTCTGATGAATGCTGGTAACAACCATGAGTTATCAACCCTGATTATCCCGTAAAAGATGAATGAATTACTTTTTAATCCCTGGTTGCATTTTGGTTAGCTGCTGCTAATGTCTGATGAATGCTGGTAACAACTGGTTTCCAGCTGGTTGCATTTTGGTTAGCTGCTAATACTTTAACAACTCTTATGGTTGCTTCTCAAAATGTTTCTGCTCAGAGTTATTTATCACAGTCCCTGCAACCTGAGGATAATGAATTGTTGTTTTTATTATCTACGCCTGGAGGTTTTTATAGACCAGTGACCTGTCCCGAATGCTCCCGACCATTTATTTGGTGCCAGCTATCATCGATTCTGGATCCCCCGAAATCACACTTAACAAGATTAAGTAATTAAAGATAAACAAAATAACCTTCCAAAAATGCTTTTCTTCCCCTGTAGTCTTTAGTATGGTAATTCGCCCGAATATATATTGAACATGCACAATGATTTTTCCAAATTGTTTTAACAACAAGTTCTACTTTATTTCATCGGCTCATTCAGGAACTGATGTCTGGATAAAAGTTGGGACAGAGTCAGAATAAAAAGGTCATAAAGGTCAAGATTTGGCATGCTTGTTGTCCAGGTCTATATTTAAAGTCTAGATCAGGGGTTTCCAACCGTCGGTCATTTGGCACCGGGCCGCAGTGTGAGACAGTGAAAAAATGTACTTCAGTTTTACTAATTTACTTCATTCAAAAAGAATCCAGTCATATCCCTTTACTTGTTTCAAAACAAGAGGTCATTCAGACTCTGATACTAACAGAATAAAATTTAATGATCCTTCAAGGATGGCGCGGTATTGCTGGTCCGCATTAACGGCTGATACAGGCCGACCGGTCCTTGGTACAAAAAAGGTTGGGGACCACTGGTTTAGTACTGGGTTTGAATATAATGTGCTTTAAATGAAATGAGTGATTTTTTTTTTTCCTCACACAGGTGTGGTCCATGGATGGTTACTTCAAGGGTCGTCGAGTCCTGGAATACAGAACTATGAACGACTTCGTCAAGGGCCAGAACTTTGTACAACACCTGTTGCCTCATCCTTGGGCGGGAACTGGCCACGTGGTTTACAACGGCTCACTCTACTACAACAAGTACCAGAGCAACATCATCATCAAGTATCACTTCCGTTCTCGCAGCGTGCTCGTACAGCGAAGCCTGAGCGGTGCCGGGTACAACAACACCTTCCCCTATTCATGGGGCGGATCTTCAGATATTGACCTGATGGCGGATGAGAACGGGCTGTGGGCCGTTTACACCACTATCCCAAACGCCGGGAACATCGTCATCAGCCGTCTGGAGCCCCAGAGTCTGGAGGTTCTGCAGACGTGGGACACAGGATTCCCAAAGCGCAGCGCAGGGGAGTCCTTCATGATATGTGGCACGCTCTACGTCACCAACTCCCACCTGGCCGGGGCTAAAATCTACTTCGCGTACTACACCAACACGTCGACCTACGAGTACACAGACATTCCTTTCCACAATCAGTACTCCCACATCTCAATGATGGACTACAACCCAAGGGAGCGAGTCCTCTACACCTGGAACAACGGACACCAGGTGCTCTATAACGTCACACTGTTCCAGGTCATCAAGACTTCTGGAGACTGAGAACTCTCCGAGTGAAACCCTTAAATAATACTGTGTTTATTGTTCCGGGCTGGGGGGTAGATGCAGTAGTGATTGGGAAACGGAAGTCTGGGGTTGGGTGGTTAGGAAGGGCATCGGTGTACGGTACACAAATATTGACTTTAAAAAAAAAAAAGAAAAGAAAAGAAATTTTCATAGAGTGCTACTGTATTAATGACATCATTTTAATCACGCTGACCTACAAGTCGGCAAGGAATCAATGACTGACAAAGACACTCCTCTCCCCTTTTTTTCCTGTCTGTGAGTAAGCATGGTTCTTTACATTTGTGATGACAATAAATATCAGTCTTTACCATTATCGACTGTACTTGATTGCTACTCGTGTTCCAACGTGCTGTGAACTTGAAAAAAAAACAAAAACATAACGTCACGTTTATACGAATGTATGTAGTCCCTCTAGGTTTGTGCTTCTTTCAGCTGGAATCGTAATATCCATGAGTATTTATTCAATTTTTATAACATTTATACATTTTCAGTGTCTCCAGTGCTACAAGGAGACACGTGAAATGGCGAAAGACTCAGAAAACGACGCGGAAATTAATGTAGAATTTCATTCAAAATGTAGAGGTAGTCACTGAAATGTGAATAAACTCGTGGTTTTCTTTCTATAAATTAAAAGATATTTGGTGCCGTTTGTGCGACTGAACCGTGTCTGTGGCCGCTGATACCGAACCATAAAAGAAGACCTGATTATTTATGGTGCCCTATTGGGTTGGGATTTGTTGGGTGATGTATTTTCTGGGGCGGTCCGATATTAACTTTTTGCTGATATTCGATAAGCCAAACACTTAATTTCCGATTCCGATATCAACCGATACCGATAAAGCGGGCAGCGGTGGTCTGGTGGTTAAGGAATTTAAGTGCCGCTAGCTCACTAAAGTGAAGGTTAAAGTAGTGTTTCTCAATTATTTTCTCCACCCCCCAGGAAACAGAAGCCCACCCCCAATTGAAGCACAAATCACTTGGCAAAACAAAGGGATTGTGTTATCGGGTTTTCATGATCGAAGGAAAAAAAACGCTAACAATTCTTACGGATATTACATAATTTTACTCATATAATAACAGTCGGGCAATAACATCGGACACCCCTAGTATTTTCTTATCTAAACAAACAGCTCTATGATTTTGAGTGTTGCTGCCACCTAGTGACTGGAGGCTTGTTTACCTTTCAAGCAATACAGAATACGGTACACTTCTGTCCAGCACACAATATTTCACTGGAAGTCTGTAACGTTCAACCAACCCCCGCCCCTTTGGCACCTCACCGCGGCCCACTGGGGGGGGGTCCGCCTCAATATTTGAGAACTACTGATTTAACTGAAAATGTGCCTGACTTGCATGACCTGAACACGTCCGTGTATACCGTACATAGAGACCATTATTAAAAGTCTCAGCCAAATTAGCAGAAGCTCGGACTGACTCACACCCAACCTCCGCGTACTCTCCTGGCACCTCACCACACCCCCTAGGGGCCACCACTATTTGAGAACTACTGGGTTAATGGTTCTCTCACGATTATGTGAGAAAAAAAAACGGCAACGGAATAAAGGTTGCCGCAATACTTTCACGGATGGGCGCGGTACTATTTTAGGCTGTGATCTTGAAAAAAAAACCCAACTCAACTCTTTATTTATTTTTATTTTTTTAAACACTCCTTGTGACTTATTTGGCAAGGACATACAGAGATCTTGTGTTTGTAGCAGTTAAGTTCTCTGCGATGAACAAAAAGACAAGCTCAGCCGAGCTGAGTTCCAACTTGTAGAGCACAAGTGCAGAAGTGCTAAATAAATGAATACGGCGGAGCACCAGTAACTAGGACACCGAGATTAATCCATGATTATATATATGTATATTTATAAAAATTGAATTCATTCAAAAGCGGTGCACTGCACACATTTATTTTAAGTACTGCATATGTACTGCTAATGATCAAACAGCCACCAAGAGGGTTGGAAAGCCTGCCTCGCGCCCTGGCAGTGTATCCCTAATGGAACCTCCCGTGGCGACCAACTTTCCCTAATTCAACCATTAATTATTATCATTATTATATGATTGTTGAGCAGTCCTTATATAGCCAAAAGTAGATTATGTTCCATTGAAAGGAAGAAAATGAAATAAACAGCTTTATTAGTCAGTCTGATAAAATGTCCTTTTTTGCAACTTCAATTTTTTCTTTAAATTAGTTTTCCCCAAAAATAAAATCATATCGTAAGAGAAGCAACTTTTAAAACCAAAGTTAAAGTACACACTTATAACTACGGGGGGTTGTAAATACTGAGTAGACGATCTCTAGAGCTACATCAAACTTTACGTTTCTTTACATTTTTTTTTTTTATCTGTCCAATAAAACTGCATACTGTATGAAAAACTATATAAAAAAAAAAATTTTAAATTTCCTGCTACCGACATCAACAACAACAGGAAAGGAGCACGTAATAATGGGAAATAGAAAAACCCGAGTTTCATGGACTCTGATTTTGGAGATGAAAGCCTTCGTGGTAATTGTGACTCTGCTTTCATCTTGTTAGTAACGCAGCTGTGCTCTGAGAGTCGGGCACTTTCTGCAGAAATGTGCCGTGAAGTCAAATGCTGCTTAAATCCCAGTCCGTGTTAAATTTTTTACCTGAACTGTTAAAATATTGCAAACCTGGATTGGTTTTTGATGTTTCCTTGAAGCAAGAAGAAACTTTCAGTAACAGTAAGAGATGAAGATTTTTTTTTTTTTTTTTTTAAATCTGGCTTTAATTTCTGGCGACACCTTGGCGAGCCGACTCACACTGGATGACCTTTCTAACATCAGGGCGCTGTGTTGAAGGAAACCCTGATGAGCTGAAACACAGCAGCGGATGGCATTCAAAGCACAGCAGTTACACACCACCAAACCGAGGATCGCACGGCTAAAAATAGACAGATGGGAAGTTCATGGGAGTGTGGGAGAGGGAGCGTCTAAATGTTACAGGATTTGAAGAAAGCAGAGGTGGACTGGATGTAGGATTTGACTTTAATATTTAATTGAACTAAAGGTTAAGATTAAAATCTAAATCAGTTTCCAACTAGATATTGTCTAATATCTAAGATATTCAAATAAAAACATCATTCTGCCTCCTGTACTGTAACATCGACCATCTCCGCCATCTGTCATCCACCCAAAGCGTTTTCCCGGCTGCTCCATCTCTCCCAACATCCACATCTCTCATCATCACACAGCGACTCGTTCATTATCTACCGCTTATTAGTTTGCACGGTCAGGCGGTGGCGGTGTAAAAGGACAGGGGGGAGGGGTACAGACTGGACGGATGGACAGTCCATCACAAGGCCACATATAGAGACAAAGACCATTGTTGATCACATGCAGACCCATGGTCGATTCAGAAGGACTGACCTAGTCCGCTAATGAGCATGTTTTGGGCTGTATATCCAATAATACTATCCAATAATTCTACACTGCCCATATACTGAGAACTTCTCCAATATATGCACTAAAAACCAATTTATTTGTTCCCCCAGTTTTCTATTTAAATTAGAACTATGTATACTTAGTATACCACATATCTACAGTATGTATGTATGTGTATATATAGGCCAAATAAGTACGTATAATTATAATAATAGTTGTTATGTGAACAAGTATATAAATAGTTTAAATATATATACACGGTATAAATAGTTAAATAATTCAATTTATTAAACAGTTTTGTCCAGTCTGGACATTATAAACAGCAATGTTCAATTTTCTGAATCGATTTATAATCGTTAACTAATTACATAATTTAATCGAATCACTTATTCGTTCCACTATGGGGAAGTCTCAAGACTCTGCAACTGACACAGGTGGCCACACGGGGCGCCATTGAGTATATCAAATCCAGGAATCTCTTCCTGCAAGGCAGGCATGCTAAGCGCTACACTATGAACCAATCGCGACGCATCAATAAAAAAAAACATTATTTCCTCCTCCCCTTTTTTATTGCCGGCGTGACAGAGCTCCGCCTCAGTCAACTCAACGGTAACATAAAGTAAAGGTAATTAAATGCAGTCACTTCAGCCCCACCAGGAACATGCACGCCGCGCTGCATTATTATGCAAATTGAAAAATGAAAAAAAAAAAAAAAAGAGCTGTGATTATGGTGCTTTACTTATCAGGTATTAAATTAATTTTCAGCAGGGGCTGCTGAGTTAGAGTTTCTAGTCCCTCTCCTATCACCGAGCATGTTAATGAGCTTTTATCAGTTTTGCATTCAGAGCAGGACAGAGGCGACGGGAAATGCTGGCACAGTTGTCTCCTCACACACACACACGCACGCAGGGTCGTCCATCACCCTCAGTAAGCCAGGGACACCGAGGGGGAGCGGGGTCTCCATCTCATCAGGTCGTGCTGCATTTGCGACGCCGCACTGGGATTGAAACGCTCAGGTTATTGCAGCAACGGCAACAGGTGATGACATATGGCGTCCTCAAAACTGCCGCAGTCTCCGGAGACACAAAGCTGTCCAAGCAATAAGCAACAATTCAGTGGCAACAACACAAGAACACCAGGTTCGACTTCCAGGAAACTGACACTTCGCACTAAAATCATTTTTATTGTTTATTTAAATTCCAACGCGCTGACTAAGATGCTCGTATTTTTCCGACGAAATTTCCAATTTTCATTATCGGACAAGTAGCGCAGGTTTTTAGGGGTTTTTTTTTTTTGGAGATCACCAGATGGAGGGCAAATTAGCCTTTCCTGTAAGTCTTCTCCAATATCCAGTGTCCTGCAAAGTGATAACTCTTATTTCTCACACAGCGTCTCCGTCCTCCGAGGCATACATTTTGGTGGTCCCCACTGTATAGTTGGCCGCACTCCCCGATATGAGCAGTGTCGCGAAAAGACCCCGCTAAAACACTCTGGCCGAATCTGAGGCTCAGCTGATAAGAACGAGGTTGAGGAGGTCAGTGTGCGCTCCGTGTTGAGACATCACTGCCGGCCATTTCAATTTCCTTAAGGACGCAGCAGGTCAGAAAGCAATCAGTACATTTCATACCACAGCCAGACTCCTATTGCCTTTTCCCCAAACTCGAAAAAGAGATAGCAGCAGCAAGGGAGAAAATCTTAGGTAAAGAGAAAGTATAGCTGTGGAAACTTCGGAGGTTATCAAAGCAGTAGCGGAAAACATTATATAGAAGTACAGTATGTAGCAGAGACAATATTGTCCCAGAATACTATAGTGTTATCCAAAAACTCTAAAGGTAGCGAAAATATGAGATTGTTCAGGTCAGAGTTGCAAAATGTTGGCACTAGTGTAGAGGTAGCAG